ACAAGTTGGCCTTGAGCCTTGTTCTTTGTAAGCCTCAAGTGAGGTTTCTTTAGATGTCTTTTGAAAATTTCTTTAGACATCTTTTATAACTTTCCACCAAGATGATACAAGGATGTTATGACTGTCAGAATAAATGAATGTATTTCCTTCATTTCTGTTTCCCAGCTACTATTTTCATAACACTGCATAGTGGTTCAAAGCAGGTCCTTGTTACACTATGTTTTCCACCAAAGTGGCTCTGCTCTTCCACTGTGATTCTGTACTGAAGACTACATTTGTCTATTGTCTCCTGACACAGCTTTTCTCCTGATTTTACTGAAGACAGCTCCATGCAGCTCCTCAACATCTGCATTGCTCGGTGCAAATTTTGCCATGGACTGCAAAAGACTGAAGGGCGCTCATTGTCCACACAGTGCCTTGGACCTAGGTTTCTGAAACACCTTGTCCTGGACCACTTAGGCAGCAGACTCTAAGACCTTTGGAGCCAAAACAGAGCCCAGGCTCAGAGTAAACCTTTATAGGGAGGCCAACAACCATGGCGAGGAAGACAACTGACTCACATGGAGAGGACTGTGAACTTCTCCTTCTGTTGTACCTTTTATGGTCTCAGAAACACAAGTCTCCTGTTCTAATCAAGGAAGAGTTTACTAGTCCATGGTGCCTTTCCAAGTCTATGATGGGAATGTGACCCTATGGAAGTCAAAAAGTGAAAGCCCCATTGGCATGACTGAAATGAGAATTTTGCTCTAGTTACTTAAAGAGCAAAGTGAGACTGAGCTACAGCTTTTGCAAACTGTCAGGCAAGTGTTGCAAAACACCTATTCTATAGCTGTTGAAAACAGGTGATTTATCTTACTGCTTTCTTATGTTACCACTGTGTTTTGCAAGACCATGACTTTGTGGATTTTGTCAGACAGGACCCGTGAAGACCAGTATCTCATCTAGGCAAAACTGTAATGAATTTTAATTCGAACATCTTTCAGTAACCAAAAAAAGTTACAAAACTCTATCATGTTCAAGATCCTAAAAAAAAATCTCCTTCAGTTTCTATATTAAAAGGTAACACAAGCCATGATAAGATTGATAGTAATGACATTGTAAATTCTGCTTAGCATGCACAAGGAGACCCTAATTGATATATTGAAAGGATATGTGTGAAATCAGTTGAAAAAAAGTGTTAATGGTCCATCAGAGAAACCAAAGGAAAAAAAAAGATCCAGATCTTAAAAAAATAAAAATGATAGGAGTACCTAACGTGGGTCTTAGGTAGTATCTAGACACTTAAAATTGCCATTATAATTCTGAAAAAAATATTCAACCACCATATAACCCTTAAGGTGCACAAGCTAATTAGATGGCGCAATTGTGATCTTGGAATCTTATTGGGACCTTAGGTATCTTATATTAGGTTTTGGATTGTACTTGGAAGCTTGAAAGTTAGCTTTTGCAAAGCTAATTAATACAATTAAGTTGTATTAATCCTTCTCCTTTTTTTTTGAAGCAACGTCTTGTATTAAAAGTCAAGGACTTGAATTTGGCCTTCCAAGCTAGGGACAGATGTTTCAGCTTCAGAAACTTCTTTCTAATCCTTCATGGAATTAAGTTTTTTTTTGTTTTGGGTTTTTTTGCAACTATGATTGGAGAGATACACTATTTATACACTATTCTCCATCAGAAAATATCTGGGAGTACTATTCAGTATTTGAAAAGATATCAAGCAACAGTCTGAGAGTAAATGTTGCTCAGGTTCCTCTGATCTTGCAGACAACCAGTGGAACCATTTGTGGTTCTAAGTAATTTAAGTGTGGTTGAACCTGACTTCACAGAGCATTTGGGCATGCTTTACAAGTATATATTCCATCAAAAATGACTTGCTGCTAATATACCGGACAAAGTCCCAGAAAAACCTGCTTTCCATGGTAAAGAACAAAATTAGTATTGCGTCAGAGGTCTTGTGGCCTTCCATTTACCATTTATAAATTCTACAGGATAAACTATATGGACAGTAATTATCCAATTTGAGCCAGGCAAGCAAATCTGAAAGATTCTATAATATCCTGAGTTATTCTCTTATATCATGGTCATATCTAAGTTGTTCTAATATTACGGGCAATTCTAGAGTTGTTTAGCCAGGATATTGAAGGTAGAGACCAAGCATTTTGACTAATACACAGTCCTGTACGTTCTGTTCCTAGGCACACAACAGCTGATGCTAAATAAAGAGGCTTCATCCAGGAAAAGTAATACACATAAGTTTGCTTTGGAATTTTTCACATAATCTTTAAAATAGCATTACATAAGGAGTCCCTGTGCTTACTTGTTTCTCTGGAATTTCTAGATACATGGCAAGAAATATGACTGACAAATTTTTACTGCCCACTACAGATGGGTTCTTAGAGCAGTTCATCCTCCTTACCAAATGTAGGGCTCCAAACGGGCAGTGGAACAGGGATGTGATAATCATGACTGTATGGGGATGGCTAAATTAGCCTTTTTTTCCCCACCAGTCTCTTAGTTGCCTTATATCTGGTATTACTAACCACTCTTTTTAACTATCCTGCACACCCATCTACAGTATGCTAATATGACCCATTTTGGAAAAAAAGAGGGAAGAGATGGAGGTACAAGGTCCTCTTTTTGTAATATCCTGAGGCAGAGGAGAGTCCAGGAAGGAGATTAGCTAGCAAGCCAGCATTGACCAGGCAAAGCAGCAAACAGAAGTTAATCAAAGAATCAGCTACTCTGGTAACGATACTGAAGACAACAGATATTCCACTACAGCTCAGGAGTCCTATTAACATGTAGAGGAGATCATTGAAAACACCTAATTGTTGTTTATAGACACTTTTTAAGTAGAGTTGATCAGAATGTGGACTTGTAGGTACTATGGCAGTAAAGGCCAGACAAAGAGAAGATTGATTGGAATTTATAGATTATATTAAGCAGCTGATTAGGTAGAAATCGCCCTGATGTGCAGTAAAGAAAACCACTGGAATTTGAGATTTGAAATAGTGAAAAAAGTCTTAGAGTTCTACTATTCCTTTGTAGTAATAAACCGCCTTAAAATCCCTCTATAAATGACTGCTCATTAGTCTATCAATGTGCATAATGATTCTCAAAATCATAATAAGAATTAATAATAGTTCAAATAGCAGAAAGGGACATTAATTTTTCACACATGAATATTAATGCTTCAGTAGAGAGTGTCTTCACAACATGCTTTCAAACTCGAATTCACAAGTCTATTGCCAGTTACCTCTTATTTTTGCCACCAAAAATCTCCCCACTGAGCGACCAGAAGATTTCACATTGCCTTAGCTGGGAAGCTAGCACAGAGGGTGAGAACAGAAGATAGCAGGAAGGATGAGATCACGGTGTCATGATAGTGTTCTTTAGAACACAGTATTGTTTGCTTAACCAACGCTTACACCAAAAGGCAATGAAAAGCAGTGATAAGGGGGAAGAAAGACTATATTTAGCCCCAGAAGACCAGTACAATGGTGGATTATCAGAAAGATAAAGGTGGGAGGATATGGAATAAAACACTCAACTGCAGAATAACGTGCATGAGATGAGAAGTGAACAGCAGGCCAGATGTTCTCCATGAACTGACCACCTCCACTAAAGGCACCACATCTCCTTCCCTCCAAGAGAGCATCACATATGGATGGAGAACCATTCGAAGGGCAGGCCCAGACCACAGGGCTTCAAAAGAGCTTCTCATGCCACCGAAGGGCATGCTCAGATCGCAGGGCTTCAAAAGAGCTTCTCATGCCAGGGCAGCACAGAAGTTCAAGCTGAACAGTAAGAAATACTTCACTGTTTTTCCTCTCTTAGCATTGTAGACTATGAGATAGGAACTTAAAGGAGAATGTTCTTGTTCTAGTTTCCTCATGCCTTGAAAGGAGAAGAGAATGAGCTGACAAGAGCAAACTTTTAAGTTAACGTGTTTCATTATATTACGCTGTGTATTTAAATACACGACATCTCTAAATAACTGAGAAGGGAAGGATCTTGTGAGGCGCATTTAACTTCATTTTATCTGATGCTGGTCTTGAAAAGCTTTAGTCAAACTAAAGACTCTTATGAATACAAAATCAAAGTGAGCAGTACATTAAGGGTTTCACATTCTGTGACAGCTGCGCATGTGCACTCACAGCTCTCATTAACAGCAATGGCAAATATGCATGCCCGTCATTCAGAAAACAGATCTCTAAGTTCTTTACTGGTTTCTTTCCTGGAGATTTTCTCTACTGGACCTTTAATTAGGCTCCTACTAGGCTTTTTCCCTTCAACCTACCCCCTCCCCGCCACACATGTACCTTTTTAAGGGGAATAGACCCCAAATTACTGTGCTTTTTTAGGCAAGTTTTTCCAAGCAGCTATAGTTCTGCAAAATGCACCTGACAATAACACAGCGATGGTTTGCAGCATGCAAGCCATAGAGACACATAATAGAATAAATGCCTAGCACTTTGAAAATACTTTTACTGCCTGCAAACTTAAAAAACAATAGAGCAGAGGTAAGTATGAAAATGAGAACATGACTGTTCTTGCATTCTTTTTATGATCACTGTAAGGCAAGAGCCTACAACCTCGTGGAACAAAACACACGCATTTCATTCTGATTAACATAAAGACAGCCCCTTCAAACATGATTCAGAATTATTAGTCTCTCTCTTGTGTTTGGGGATATATGGATTATCAGCCTAGTATATTTTGAATACATACACATTTTAATTTCTTTCCGAAACCATTTTAGGCACTAAAGTTCAAATCGTATATATAATATTTATAGACCAATAATTTGATATGTTTTATAGTTAAATATCTAAATGCTACAGGAGATAAAAGGCAATCAAAAACAATAAAAAGACAGGATTATGGATAATGGAAGCTAAATCAGATTTGAGATGCCTCTGTTCCTCTATTTTTAAGTTTATTATTATTTTTATATAACAGGCTATTTCACTAGCTTCTACTGTATCTGATGTACTTACTTATCGCCTCCACAAACTGTTCAAAGAAGCAGTATGGGAACAGCGGCTCAGGCAGCTCTCTGAAAAACATCTTGAGTGCTCCGGTGACAACGTGGATGTCCTCCCACTGGCTGTCGTCCAAATTCAGCTTCTCTTCTGGGAAAACACGAGGAGAAATGGAACAACTGGTTTTAATGAAACAATTACAAGACACTAATTATTATGTTAATGTTTGCCTACTATCATCAGCAACCGTTAACAGCCTTCTGCACCTAGAGGTTTGGTGCTGTGCATGTTTTTTTTTCCTTCCTTTTTTTTTTTTTTCGTTTTTTTTTTTCCTGTAGGAAGGGAGCGTTTTCAATGGAATACCATCTGTAGGAATGCAGCGAACAAAAAAACAAGAGGCACAAAGAGACGGCACCATTGACACAGGATGTCAGATACGTTTATTCCCGTCATGCATCAGGAGGAAAATTAGCATCCCGGCTCAACATGATTCAAAGCTATTTGGTTTTGAGGCCGAGGGGCTAAGAGTTGCCAACGATGGCCGGCTCAAGGGACCGGCCTAAAGGCCTTGCCGAGCCAACAGGAGACATATGCTAAACATGGCAATAGAAAATGAGTTATTGCTTTACATGTGTTAGCCTTGCTATGTACAAGGGAATAATGGGTAACGCTTTTCTCCTTTTTTTCGCCTGAATGTAATGTCAGCAAGGAATAGAGTGCTGTGAGAGAAAGGATATTAATTCCTTCGTACTGCTTCAAAAATATTTTGTTTGGTTTTCATCTCTGGGAGGAAGATTTGCCCAGCAACAATATTAGACAGACCCCTGTTGGCCTACCTAGGCTATGCAAAGCTGTCAAAAATGATAACACGCGGAAGACAAACCACAAGTGCTTACAAAACTGTTTTGCAAACAAAAAAAAATGTTTTCTTTGAAGCTTGGCTAAGCTAAGGAATTTAAATATAAAAGAAACTAAGTGCTAAAATAGAGTTTCTAATAAAAATAAGGCAAGATTGGCCGATTATTCTATTCTTCTTTGTCTTTTTTATTCTGATAGCATGATACTATTAGAATGCAGTAAGCAATGGGATCAAAATCCACTCTGGGAAAGTGTAAATCTTTATTAGTCCAAATCAAAAGGATGCACACTTTCTACAAATTCTGTTATTCCTAAAATGAATTTTGAGTTTATATGTGTGTGATATAATTTTCACTTTTAGAAAATTTCAGATTGAATTCAAACCAGGAGCCGACCATGAACACTACTGAGAAAAAAATAATTTGAAGCAACAAAATCCTGGAAGGTTTCACTAAAAGTCACTGAAATTTGGTGCTTAGTTTTCAAGAGCAGCCTCTTTACTGAGCTGCCATTAAACAGAATGGGGAAATCCTTGGAGTCGCATGGAACCTGCGACGCCAGGTCTGTTAATGAGAAAGTCTTCTCACCATGGAGGTCACTTCTGGGCAGAAAATCTTACCCGAAACGGAGTTTGCTTTGAAGTCTAGCTGTTATAAAATGCTTTTCAAATATCTGGATTTGGGGAATGTATACAAATAACGGAATGGGCCCAGTTCCTGAACTGGGAGCAACGGGACACGAGGCTGGAACAAAGGCACGCTTGTGCATTTTGCCTAGTTGACTTGCTCGCTTCTTCGCTTGCAAGCTTCTTTTTTCTTTCTTTTTTCCTCCCCCATTGAATTACCTCAATCAAAAAAGTACTGATTTGATCTCTTAGCAGAGGGGATCTTCTTTTAGACTCTGAGATCATATTTGATTGATCGTATTTCAACAATTAGCCTTTTATTTTGCCACACACCATTGAACTAGATCGACAGCGTCTTAGCGGGCCAGCTTTAAACAGTCAACTGTTAACAATAGCATCAAAAAGAGAGACCTGATGGGGTTTACTGTCACTTTAAAGAACAGGGTGGGTTTTCACATTGTTGAAATCTGTCAGATATTTTGAAATGTCCCTCTCACTATGGTGCCACACCCCCTGCGTGCCCTTATAATAAAATTGGTTTTACTCCTGATTAAATCATTTTCTCCCTACCCACTACCATACTTCTCATAATGGACCTGTGTGCTCTACAGCTGGTGTTCTTCCCATGGTACCAATTCTTACTTTATCTTTTAAGCACTTTGCTGCTAAGATCTCATGCAGAGTGCTTATGTTTTGTTAAGAGCTTCATTCTTAGAGAAATAGCTTAACACATGTTCTAAAAATGTTGTACAACTTATTGCTTAAAACACATTTAGAAAATGTATAAGTACTGTAGCTTTGGCACAGAACTTTAAGTAGAAACCTTAAAAAAAAAAAAAAAAACACATACAACTTGTTTTTGCCATGCATTTGTCTTAAATGTCTAAAGTGGAAAGCCTGACTTCTAAGGCTTTGCAGAGACTTTTCTTACCAGATTTTTGCACCATTTCCAGCTCTTCAAGGAAACGTGTTAGGAATGTATCATCGTGAAAGCACAGGGTGTCAATTTCCCCTCTAGCAATAAGAGATTTTTCAAAAATGTTTGCTAGGAGGAACAAATGCCAAGTCAAAAAAAAAAAAAAAAAAACACAAAAAAGAAAATGCAAGTCCATTTGCCGCAAGGTCCTTCGTTGGCTCCCGCTGGCTGCAGGCACACACATATCCTGGCCATAGTGCCATAAACAAACATGCACACATGCACGCTCATTTATTTCAGATGAGCTCTTTTAGCTTTACTTGGGCATTTTAAATTTGGGGGCGTTTTGCTTACATAAAGCTTAAGTCCCAAATCTGGTATTTCAATTTGCCAGTCAAGGACAGTGCTCAATCAAGAAACACTGAATCTGGAAAGATGGTCAGAAATCTCACAGTCCTAAAAATTTGCTTTAACTTGTCAGTAGCATTTGATTAGTTCAACCATCCCTGCCAGTTGATATCATATATCTGAGATAGAGACACAGATATGCCTAGAAAATCCCCTAAAATTTATGCTAATACGCAGGATGAAAATATAAGGACCACATTAAAGAAAAAAAAAATAGTGGGGCACCTGTCAAGGTTATTAGTTTAAAAAAAAAAAAGCATGACATATAATACAGTGGTGAAGGGAGTGTGGCTTTTACTGTGCTATTACTATCAGAGTAGTTCTTAGTACACCAGCCTGTCCTGTAGTTGCATCTTTTGCAGTAGAACTGGAGTTTGTGTCTCATTTGTGCATGACACCATAAGGTTCTTCTCCTTTAATACGGGAAAAAGATAGTTAGTGATCAACTGAAAAAAAAAAAAGAAAGAAAGAAAAAAAGAAAATCAATCAAGGCAGTATAGAGAGCTCAGTTCTGCAAGAGAATGATTTCTCTAACCACATGCCCTGCCCTGTATGTAGAACTCGCCTCTGGAAGCAAAATGCAGTCATTTGAGACTACTACTGCTTTTTTTTTTTCGGTTGTTTTCTCTTTTAAGATAATTTATATAACTGGTTCCCCAGCTATGTATTGTCCTCAGCCCACGCTGCTTTTAAATCCCGGAGCACCACACTCTGACGTCCTAATTCACATTAGATATTGTATCTTCTTGCAAGTGCTCCCATGGATTGTCTTGAATCCCACTGAAAGCAATTTCCAGCAAATGCAGTTCTCAGAACCTGGCCTATGCTATGCAGACTCTGCTCTCAAGGAACAGAAATCACCTCTTTCACAAGAATTAAACAGATTCAGACTATCTTTTATGGGTGGTCTTCCCTGATGCCACACAGCAGGAAGAACTAGCACAACATTGGTAAGGTCCTTGCATGGACTGGTTGACGAAGTGAGTTGAAGAGATAAAGAACAAAACTATATAAAAATCTCAGATGTTTGTGATAAAGATCCTTAAGATAAATCTTAGGGAAGTCAATCCTACCCAAAGAGATAACATGGAGAGGGAGAATATAAAACAGATTGCTCAGTAAATCATATAAAATGACGATGATAGATGATGACAGAGAGAGGAAGGGTCTAGGACAGGTATGCAACCAAAAGGGGAGAAAACATAGAAGCAGAATAGAAAAGAGAAAGAGAATTGTTGGGTAATACTGACCCACAGCTGTGATACTTGGGACCAGGGGTCACTGTTCCCAAGGATGGTTGCATAGAAGCAGAGGCCACCAAGATTTTGTTCCAACCTCAGACCAAGAGAACATCTCACTCTCTGACTGAGCTACTCTCGCATTTTCAGGAGAGGTTATTATCTACTTTTACGTACAAAAAAGCAAAACCAGAGCTCTTATTCAGTATTTTTCTTTCAAAATCATGAGATATATCCTACTGACCCTCATTCTGGCTAAATCTGTTTGCTCACATCCATGTCTTTATGGTTCCCTGCGCACGCAGCAGAGTCACGAGGGCTGTGCTCTGAGACACGACAGCCGTCACGCTGCATCCCCCTCTAAAGCCTGGGCATTCGGGGACCAAGGCTCAGTCCCAGGGCTCTGCTGCACGAAGCCTCCAAGCGCCGGAGCCTCCAGCCCTAGAGGCTAGCCCATATTCACAGGGAGATCTCCCTCCGAGAAAGCCCAGCACAGCAGTATTTACTAATTCCCTCTATTTCTCTCACATCAAAGTCTTAACAGAAAAAAAAAATGAGAGTACACAATGCATTCCCAGTTGACTAAAAGCTTGGGAAACTTGCTGGACTTGCACATCCCAATAGGCAGTTTAGTAGCGAGAGCTCCAAAACAGAGCCTGTGGTTGAAGGAGAGAAAGAAAAGCCCTCTTGCACCATACTGAGAAACGACAAAGTGTCAAATGTCATTCCTCTTCTCTCCCAAACTTAAAGACACCTCTTTTGTACAGATACACTCGTCAAAATAGTTTGCAGGTCGCTTATGCTCTTCAATGGTAAAGAGAGAAAAAGACTCGAGCAGAACTGCTTCACTTGCTGCGTCCTCAGCACACTCCTTCACCACTATATGCTTTCTATACTATACAAATATTAACTCGTACAGAGATAGGGATGTGTGCCCAATAGCTGTGCACACATTTTAAAGGCATAGCTTCTCCAGTGAGTAAATTCCAAGAGACAGCAACCTCTTGACCACCCTGGGACGACAGGACCGCAAAAACTATTGTAAAGGGTTGCTACAGCGAAGCAAACCCTTCCTTTCAACATGATCACACTCAATTTCAAGCAGTAATCGGATGCAGAGATGTCTGGAGGCACCTGGGTGATGAGGGGCTGGGAGGTGGTGAAGGCTGTTTCTTCCTCTCTCCCTTGCGAGGTTTGGGAGAT